CATTTTAAAAAAGAAAATCATCAAAGTACGTGCGTTTCTGTAGCCACGAATGCACCTATAATTACGTGTTCCGAGATAAGAATTATCGAATATAAATGTGTCGTTCAGTATCTTTATCTGAACTGTGACAATTATTATCGTTTGTAATACGTGTTTCCTTGGTCCCGAGCAAACAATGATTCTTCTTTATTTTTGTTAAATGAATGATATTTCTTGCTCATCCGTGCAGAGTTACGAAAGCCGAACAACTGAAATATCCGCCAAGCGTGTCTATCATTGGAAAAGGAAAAAAAATATGAGTCTCTCCGCCATCGTCCGGTGCTTAATTGACACCCATCCTCGACAGGAAGATGAGTATCATTACGGAGGTCTCTCCGCAAGATAGCATTACTAGAATAATGTAATAGTATTACGTCTTGAATTATGTATTCGGCTGTATTATAACTTCAAATAGCGTTGTCAAGGCCGTCAGATTTTTGGTTCCCACACAGAGAGAAAAAAAATGATTGGAACAACCATAATTTAACTATAATTTATAGTTATTTTATGGCTATAGTTATTTACAACCCCATAAATTAATAATTGTTTTGACTATATGAAATATAGTAACCCGAACGTTAAATTATGATCATAATAACCATAATATATTTTTTAGTTATTGTTACTACATGTACTATAAAGAGTAAGCGAAAATTGGAAAACTGGTTACATTCATTGTAATTATGATTGCAATTACAAATACATAAAAATGGTTATTCTATTTATCATCCATATTTCCAAACTTTACTATACTAATATTTGAATTTATCATAATTTATAGTACAATTTTTGTACCGTTTGGTAGAACTATACATATAAGGTCATTGTTACTAACATTATAACAATAATAACTATAAAAATCATGCTCCTAACCATAATTATTTTACCATGCAATTATAGTCACAAATACGATATATACTTTTCTCTCAGTGCACGCCGAAATGACTTGATACCAGTATATTGGCGCATTATAAAAAGTATTTTGATTTTTGCGTTCGATATAATGCATGATTGATCAATACCGCGTATTTTCGTGATCTGTTCCAAATAATTCAAAAATTTGATGTCCTTTAATTATCACAGAGCGAATGACTGATACTCAGTGTTTAAAGTATTCTCTAAAACTTTTAGAGTGAATTGTTACTCTTAAGAGCAAAATCGAGCCACCTTTTTTTCAAAACTGGCTCAATTTTTACTCTTTAGAGTGAGATTTTCCACAGAATTTCGAGAATATCCAAAATAAAATGATGATCCGCAGATAATGCTGGTGAAATAAATTTTATCATTTCAAGTGAAGCGATTCACTTCACGCTCGCGATAAGATGGAACAAAGACTCTCCAATGATGTTTACCGCTCGATATTGTTATTGTACGTTTATCTATCGACCATACACATCGATTCAAGCGCGCTTTTCGAGCAACATTAAAGAGAGAAACGTATCCCGTTTCATGAAGAAAATCATCCATTTCCTTAAACTTTTTCTAAAATAGTCTTAGATGCATTTGAGATACACGCGTATGATTAAATTGAGATTTGTGTGTTTCTTTGGGTTCAAAAATTATAGGTATACCAACGTAATTGATGTACATCGGAAGTCTCTGAGATATTATGCTGTATCGGTCTTCCTGCAAAATTGCAATCCTACTCGTAAGAAACGAGCACGTCGAATTATTCCTTTTATGACGGTTTCTTCATCAAGATCTCGGAAAAACACACCATGCATATTTACTCGTGTTACAAATCGAAATCCTGCTGTTGCGCTCACGAGAATAAAAATAAAGAGGTAAAGACAATTATCCATCGCGATTGTCCAATGACTTAATTCTATCGTAATGAAAATTTCAACAAACATCGAATACGATCTCAATTCCCGATTGATTCTTTTTATAGTATCGCGAAGACCGATTCGTTGTGGAAGCATCATCTTGTGCGAGCTATAAGAGAGAGGAACAAGACAAACGCGTTTATATTTTCAGCCTATAAATAATCGGAATACGCAACGTAATCTATGACGTATATGTATACCCGTATCATATAAAATATGTAACGAAATGCCGCATGACAAATATAGTTTGATCGCGAATACAAAGGGCATTACAGTAAATGGATTGTCCGTACACGTTCGGTATGACTTCCTATAACACGATAGTGCAGTAACAATCAGATTATCGATTTGGAGCATAGGTACAACATTGGCACTGTACACAACAGATGGTATTGTTTAACTCGCGTCCATGAATCGCGTTAATAATATCGGATGGCTCGCTAGACGTTTATATTTAATTTCAAGTATGAGCTGGATCTATTCACAAGTCTCTCTTTTGTGCGTCGCATTCTAGCGTTATCTCTTTCGCAGGCTGTATCATGATGATAAGAGTACCCGGGAACGTGCTCGTGGAATACGCGGAATCCGCGCCCATTGCCACGCCGCCACGGCCGTGTCGTTGCGTTGTGCCGCATTTCTTTGGACATGCATTTCTTTGACGCGTTTAGCACGCGAGTCGGTGCACTTTCACTCGACGGTCAATGTCATCGGAAACCAGTTTGTAATCATACGACCAGCGCCGGCTGGTTCCTGTATATATAAAAAGACAGAAAGAGAAAAAAAAGAAAATGCTGGACTTGCGTTTTAGAGGTTCTTTTTTTATAAGTATGCGTGTAAATAACTTGAAAGACTCGGGCTCAGGAATTCAGGGTTCGGGAATTCAAATAATAGCATTACTTGCTATTGTATCAGATATTCAACACGTGATATGTTATTTGAAAAACTATGCAATAATTAGTCGATGCTAGGAAGATAGTTACGATAATAACATCATTTTCCACACGGAATAAGTTAAACGATACTTCGTTGCATAATAGAGAGCTCATTGTTGTTTATAAAAAGTTTTAAATCGATATTATGTTTTGTTTTTCTATAACTCGAAAACAAATTATACACGTAATCTAGTTATAAAAACCGATTAAAATGTATAGAAATAAATCTTAGTCTACAGAAAAAAGAAAAAAAATTGAAAACTAAATTCAAATTGCAAAAAAGAACGAAAGAAAGAAAAAGAGTAAATAAATCGATTTCTAATAGATACATTAATAAAATAAAATAGTCGTAAAAATAGTCAAATTATTTTTACATATATATCATGCTCCCTATATCTTTGGAGTGAAATCTCACTCTTAAAAATTGAAAATTTAGCTAGTCTTAGCTGAAAAAAGAGTGAAAATATTTTAATCCTTAAATAAGAGCGGAAGAGATTTTCACTCTTTAGGAGTGGAATTTCATTTTCTGACGTAAGATCTCAGTCTTTTGGAGTGAAAGTCATTCTAAGGAATGAGAAAAAAAGGAGTGAGATTTTATTCGTTTTGACCTCTCTCCAAAAGAGTAAAGTCTTACTCCAAAAACTTATTGAAGACTGGCTGAATTTTCACTCCAAAAGAATTGGAGAATAAATTAAAATATGACTCATATGCACGAAAAGATTATTTGCCACTCACTATTAACAGCATTCGAGCTGTTAAAGATAAAGCTTCGATCTGTAACGTTTTTAATTCCAATAGCGAATCATTATACACGAACATTCAACGATGCATTAAAATATTGATTGAAAATTCCTTGCATACAGTATTCTATTACGCGAAATAGATATAAGCTAATAAAATTACAATCTCGACATTTCATCAGACCCTATTAATAATAATTACAGAGAAAATTTTATTTTCAATTTTAATTTTGCCTTTTATAAAAACTAAATATAGTAAAATGCAGATTTTACGATACATAATTAAGCAAATTATTACACGAAAATAAATAATGCATGATAATTTATGATATTTGCGAAAAACACGAGTGTTCCTGGATGCTCAACAGAAAGTTATCCAATTTCCATTATAGTTATGTGTATGTTTAGTAAGCAATTATGGTAATTATATAGTGAGAACTCGGACGAATGCTTTCTATAAAGACTTCGTCATGCTGAAGTCAAATAATGTAACATTTGGAATGCAGTTCAAGGGCAGAGTACGTTCACATACCGTGTAATTTACAAAATAATCTTTCTGCGGTTTCACGACTTTTTCTTGTGTGACGCTTATACGTTGTATTCTATAATAATGTACTATCATATCGAGCTAATGCCTAATCGGCTTGATACTAAATGTTATGTTACGCTCTGAATGTTAGCTTTTCTTTCCGTTTCTACTAGCCAAGTTTTATCGTGGATTTTTTAAAATCTCATCGACTTACCCAATCGAGTATTATTATCCAATTAATAATGCTAACCCATGAAGTATACGTTGACCACGCGTTCGACTGGATTACGAAAATCTTAGATCGATTTAGATAAAGAACATTCGTTAAGCTGCAACGATTACGGAATAGAATGAAGAAAAATGTATTTCTTTTACACACGTGTATAAAGCTATTAGAAGCTATAGATGTATGAATAAATTGTAATTAATTGATTCATGCTGGCGAAGAATCAACAGGATAAAGTAATTTTAATTCTTCAAATGTTTGTAAAAAAATACGCGATAATAGCAAAAACACTGTAAATGTGGCTTATTAAAAAATGATGTAACTATTCGCAATACAAAGCCTAAATTTCAAAGTTCAGCAAATTTTTTCGTTGAAGACAAATATGATAACGTCATAGAGACAGACGCTCCTTGTTGCACGTTTAGATCACAAAACGCATAAACATGCGAAACGTGCTGTTTACGTAATATTATGGAAAAATATTACAATAACCTATTAAAAGAAAAGAAATCTATGTTACGGAGGAATTTCTTTTTTCCGACATTCAATTCTTTCGTAACATTTTGCCACATTACAATCAACTTGCCTCAATCAAAAATCGAAAGTCAGTTTCAATTACAGACAATTGAAAAGACGATATTCGACTGTGAAATTTTTTATTCGATTGGAATATCGATATGATAAATAAAGATAGAATAATGTACTTACTATTTTTGCGGCCTTCTCGGACCTTATATGTAAGATCAGTGAATGCCAAGTCGACCGGCGGCCTCTTCGGCAGATGCGTGATCGTCTTCGGCTGCATCGGTACGATCTGCAGCCGCACCGCCGAGTTCTTCCTAGGTTGCAATAAAATTCCATTGGAATCGTCCGCCGTCGAACAATTTCCCTCATGCTTCATCTTTTAATGAGATTGTTCCGTTCCTCTCTTCTAAATGCCAATCGCTGATCGTTCGATCAACCGCGCGCGTTTTCCTTCGCAATGTTTCGAGATCAATGAATCACTTTTCGCGAAGGTAACATGCGAAAAAATTCCGTAATCGGCGATTTTTCACAACCTGCAATATCGCCCACATGATGCAATGCACTTCGCAAGACATGTTAAATATAGCGTTTAATTTTTGGGAGGGGGAGAAAGAGAAAATTATATTCGTATCACGAGTTATGTTTTCGTAGCAAGTTTGATTCGATAGCAAATCCACTCGCTGACGTTATAGAACCAGTTACGTGGAACTATATTTAAACTTTACTTAAATTTGCAAATTTTGTTCTGTATAAATTAAGTTGCACTTCATTTAATTTGGCTATAAGATATTAAGATTTTATATCCTGTTTTATGATGATTTACTTGGCTTACAAGTCTCTTTTCTGCAAAAAATTGCGATTTTTTCAAATCAATTAATGCAGTGAGATGTTATGTACATCCCATTTTATAATTAATCACATTCACGGAAGGTTGCGAATGATGTTAAAAGGAAAAATTGTAAACACTGACAATGAGATGAGACTAAGAAAAAAGTTACTTTGTACAGAACATCGAAAGAACGATTTTTTGCTAAAGTATCTAAACGTTTAACTATGTATACAGATTTAGAAATAATTTTGTTGAGCATCAAAATAATTACAAAAGAATCTCAAACACATAATGAGGCTTATTATAAGGCTTATTATAAATTCTAACGACAAGTAAAAATAATAAATAAGAATAAATGTAAGAATAATAATAAATAAAAATAAAATAATAAATAAATGTAAGATAATATAAGTGAAAATAAAAGTGTGAAATACAATATAATTTTCAACTAATACATATACAGTATAAAAAGTTTTATGATTGTTTCATTTCAAATCCTAGTTATTCACAAAATACATTACAGTAGAAATATAAAGTACAATTTTTTTTAGAAAATAAAATACGATTTCGTAACACGATGTAATCTTTGTTGTAATTTCACGTGATGTTATACATTAAGTGTCACTAGCTATTACAAATAGAATAATATAATTTAATAGAATAATATAATATAATATATTGTTTATATATTAATGTTGATATATATTAAAATATCCCTCTTTGTATGTGTGTGTATGTGTCTTCTTAAGAAGTTGTTTACCTTTTATTTTACATAATTAATTATTTTGATAGTTAAACTAAAATTATTTTTAGACCTATATCTAGCTAAATTTTTAAATATTTCAAAATCGTCCTTTTGCATAAATATTATTCCATTATTTTTTTATATATTAGGTGTAGTAAAAAGAAATCTATTATTTTTGCATGAAATCTATTGGAAAAATAATGGATTTCTTTTTACTACACCTAATATATAACCCTTTAGTGCACACGATGATTTTCCGGTCCATTACTACACACGATGGATCATGTCCGGAGTTAATCATTATCACTCTAACAAATATACAGTAATTATTAAGTAATTTATATATATATATATATATATTTTAATAACCGAGGGATTAATCATCGATGAAAATGATTTCCAATTCTATACACTCATTTCCACGTGATTTTAAAGTGATTTCCTTTATTTTCCGGGAAACATTCGAGACGCGCGACCGAACGACGATACTTGTTTGCTTTCAATGATGAATGCTCGATTGTCTCGTTGACTGATTTCCTCGCTAATTTCGTAGGTGAGTAGCCCCTCATTAATATTTTTAGAAAGTATTTGAAAAATTATGTATTTAAACAAATTATATATATAAATACTATAACTAATCACTTGATACTTCTAGTTTTTCAAAGAAAAGAAATATGCAGGACACGAATGATCCAATCCTGTATACTAAGAGTGATGTAACTAAATTAAAAATGATGCTTGACATTAATATTAGCTATCTCATCGGAGTATAATACGAGAAGCAAAACATAACTAATTACTGTTTTTGATATGCAATTCACTTCGAGATTATTATAGTTTTATTCCACTAATAAAATAAATCACTGTAGATATTTACGCAAAAACGGCATTTACCTATGATTTCCTGACATTAACATATAATATCGACTATTTATTAATTAAGTCTCGATTATTAAGTATGTAATAAAAATACTTATGTAAAGCAGAAGGAGGAAAATAAAATATAAACATAAAATTGACTTGCAAATTAATATAAAAAATTTTAGATCTTCTTTGTTTGAAAACTCATTGTGTGACGATAAGAACACTTAAACCGTCGTATTGATAAGAAAGAAAAACTCACCCGTAGCAAAAAAGCCACCAAGTTTTTGCGAGAATATACAAATATACTTTTATATATGGAAGTGTTTAGAAAACAATCTCTCTCTTTCTACTCCAGCAAGTCTAACAGTGAAAATCACAGAACTGAAAACCACCTCTCTTAGAGATCGTTCGTGGAAATGAGTGAAGAATAGAATAATCTTGATGCACTGATTCTTACATTGCCCGACTTCGCCGTGTTTCCTTTTGTCGTCGTTGGAGAAATCTCTCCGCGGACACCGAAGCTAGCCCTGAGATGTAACGAGACGCATCTCTGGCACAAAGCGATCCGCGAGTACGACGTGTGTGGATGACAAGAATGACATATGCGACACACTCGATCCGTACGATTGCACGTGTCGCGGCACACTCCCGATGCATACGCGATGCACCGTGGTTTTTAGAATCTCGCCGGATACGCTCCGATAACAAAGCCAGGAAGCAAACCGGTGGGGAGACGAGCGGTGCTTTACACCTTGCGATGCACCCGCCGCCCGCAACGACTCGAACTCAACTGAGCTAAAAAGCCGCGACTGCAAGTCCGTTGCCGTTGACCGCCACTGTGACGTCCCTTTTGTCTCGCTCCCCTGGCTTTCCTACCCTTTTTTCATTCCGTGCAACAACTAAGGAAGAAGGCATTTACGGTTGCACATGAGAACAACGCTTATATCGGCAGATCAAAGTCTACGTAGACGGTGATGACTAACGTAATGTTAACAACATCCGCGCCGAGGGAGGTCAGTCATCCTCTTTGATCTTATCACGATCTTTTCGTCATTTCTTATTACGATATAGAAAATTAGAAAGTTGTAGGCGGATATGACGTCTAACTGTTTCAAATCAAACGAATTCTCACTGCATTTTAACGAATCACGCTCACAATCAGATTGGAGAACTTCAATACTGTTTTTGCTACACGAAATTGAAAGAAATCCGTGTGAGATGTAATAAAGACGAAATATAACAACTTTTAATCCCTTTAATCTCTTGCCGCCACCTTTAGAATTGGATTACAATACAACACGCTTTTAACAGAGTGTAAATGAATCGCGTCTTGAATTGCTACTGCGAGCACTCACCTAAATGGCTCCTAAGGACAGAGATACGTTTGTCCGTCGCGACAGTTCACAACAGAAGAGACAAAGGAAATGAAAGAGACTTCTATCTCCTAACACATGAATAGACATAAATAGACCGCGAAACGTAAATTAGAGCGTTCCAAACGTAAATATTAGTCAAGGATATTCCAGTTAATTGATGGCAGCGTGTTATAAAAAAGCTAAGTTGTCCTCGAAAATATTTAAAATAATAAAATTAATTAACGTATAATTGCTCAGCAATAACACCAGCGACGATTAGCCTCGATTTCACTACAGTCAGCCACTAGTATCGATTGATAATGCATCACGCGAATCACTATTACTAATGGAATAACGGTATCTGCGTGTACCTGTGTCGATGTTTCATAAGTGGGCTTATCAGAGGCGGCTAATTAACGTCATTTCCGATAAAAGACGATGTAATAACACGTGCAGTATTACGAACCACATCATCTATAGTCTATATACAATGAAAAAAAAGATTGACTGCAGCTATAACCAATTAAAATATGTCGCTGTGCCATATTGAGTCAATCTTTTTTTTCAGTGTACTAATAAAAAATTAGAAAGTATTTTTTTTAATTTGAATAAAGTAAGGTAAGTGGTCCAACAATAAATCATATAAATTTCAGAGGCTCGTATTTCTCTCAGTTATTGAGTTGAAGATCTGGGTTTTTACATATAGTTGATGAATTTAGTTAATTACATACTGTAAACAATAATTCTTAAATTATTTCTTAAGTTTAGTTACAATTTCGATCATTTTAAAAAACGGGAAGTGGTTTATTGTGTTCAAGAGATGTGTACACAATGAACTATTCTATTTTTAATAATGAACTACATGTTTTATACTGCGAATTGTTAGGATTATTTTAGTTTGACTATATTTTAAAATGTTTATTTAGTAAAGAAATAATTAAAGATAATAAGAATTAGAGACAGAGAGAGAGAGAGAGAATAAAAAATATTAAAAGCTAACTTATGTTGTTTTTAATTTATGTTGTTATTATTTTAAGCTCACAATCAAAATTATTGTTTTTAACATATTTCAGATATTTTTTCAGATTATTATTTATTATAGTGACTAGTTTGTCACAGTTTAATCAAACTTATAATACATATATAGTAAAAAAAAACAATGATTCATTGTTGACTACATCAAAATGATTCATAAACCACATAATCTTTTTCACGATAATCTCCAAAATAATGTGGTAAAATGATACAACAGAAAAAGCTGCTTACAAAATATTGAAGCTAAATGTGTACACAAAACTATTGCACAAAGAAAAAATAATAAGTATAACAACAAAAACTTTAAAAAATGCCTAAAACTTACAAAAAAATTTTGCAACCCAAAGTTCTTTAAACGTGATACTATATGGCTATTCTTGGCACGATCTGCTGGTTGACTGAGGAACTGAGAAGGGATTCAAATACGAGTCGCTGCATAATTACAGCGTAATTTGGTAAAATGTCGCATTTACGAAATATCGTAAT